ATATATAAGTATATATATGTATATATAAGTTATTTGGACATAAGCATGCATTAAATGTGTTTGAGGAGAGCACTGGCAGTTATAAACTGGTGCAGCAATAACATTAACAAATAGGTTGGTTTTTTTTTTGCCGTTTGATAACAGGACACTCTGGAGACCAGGTTGTGCCAGGTGCTTAATTGTTACAAAAAGATCTTACAAACATCGTGTTGCAAAAATAAAGTCAAAGCTTTCAATGAAATAGTGCCTGTATGATATACAGTTGGACTGCAGAGTCATGAACGATATGATCCTATAAATTAATGAGACCTACTTTCACATTGATTGTGGCAGGGCATAAAGCTAATTTGTGCTGCACAAGTGTAGCTTTTCTGGGGACAAACCTATTTCCCAGAGTGCTGATGCTCTCATTTAGAACTGGAGTCTAAGGGTCTTGGGAAATTGAGATGGACACCAAACGCTCCAGCTGAGTCATACATCTACAAAGCTTAAACAAGAATGAATCATATGGGGTTTGTGTGAGTCTGTGTGCGAATGCGTGTCAGTGATAATAATTGAGAGTACTGTAGGTCATTAGTTACTCTGCCAGCATGCTATGTATCTGCATTAGAGGCACACTGCCCTTTACACCCTTCACTGGACACTGCCAGAAGTTACCATCTCATACTTTAGTTGCTTCAGTTCCAGTTTAATTTTTATATACACTCATTTAGTCTTAGTAGACCAGCTCTAGGGGCTACAAAGATGTCTCCAGAACATAACCAACGTTTTTAATCAGATGCAGCCTAAACAGATGAATGTAATTTAAATTGTACTTTGGTCAGTTGTCTATGAAAAAACGGAAATGCTTTATCTCAGCATGGAAACAAATTCTGGCTTAATAGTCTTCTAAAATCCATAATCGTCCAATTTGCTCTGTTTAGATTGAAGACAAGGTGATTGCTCTCACACTAAGCTGTAAAACACTCCTCCAGCTCTTTGTACTCTGCTTCCTTAGCCACCATAATTCACTCCACAAATGTGGAATAAGTTGAGAAAGTTTGCAGATGAAAGGATTAAGTTGTACAGAGGTCTGAGGTTTATATCAAGAAGAAAATGGTAAGATGCATTTCCTCTATAGTATTTCAGAGATGCTGACCACCTTTCAGACACACAACCTTTGTGTCTTTTAAACTATGGTCTGCCTGGCAGGTAGTCAATAATCCAGGTATTTGTGGAGGATCAATTTGTATTTTCTTAAGGTTCCTTAAACTTTGCAGCTAAATTGTGTTAAACATACAGCAGAAATCAAATATGATCCTAACAGCACCTCACACATTGTACAGATTAAAGTGGGCATGTTGAAGCAAGGATATGTTGACCAGGAAGGAAGGCAAGCAATCTGCAGCGAGTTTCGCAGGTGCAGAAGAGCTTACTTGAATGAGTCATAACAGTTTCCCTGAAACCCATGTGATTTAGGATGTTATGGAAATTGATTTACTTGTAATTAAAGACGGATGCAATTTTTCTGGTACTATAAAAATATGATGTCACCTTTTGATGACTGAGGCTAACCAATAATGCATGTAGTCAGAACATGAATGTTATTTGGTGTTTAGAGTAAGTTTAAACACTTTTTTGCCCTAACTGATCTGTCCTTTAAAGCAAAAACACACGCAAAACTATGCTGCCTGCAGTTCTATGAACTAAAAATCATTTTTGATGATTTTGGGTGTATTTATGTATGCTCTAAACCTAAAATGTATTAAGCAGTGATTAAGATTCTGGGTACCTGTAATTTCATACACATCAGGACTAGGGATGCACCGATTCACTTGTTGTTGTTTTTTTACTTCCGATCCGATCCCGATACCTAAAACTGGATATCGGCCGATACCGATACCTTTCCGATATCATCATCATTATTATTGATTTTATACGAGGTTGCAATAATCTTCTCCCTATAGACAAGTACAATTTGTACAAATATATCCATGCATGTCCAAAAAGGTAACTTGAGGTAAGTTTTATTATTGCTGGATAATTTTCAAAGTTAGAATTAAATTCTGCTAACACAAAACATATTTTGTTTATAGCTTTAAAGTGGACATTAAAGTGATTAATTTAAGTGATTGTTCGTTTAAAGTTATTTTATATATTTTTTAAATAAGGGGCAGATATAATAATTTTCTTCTTCTTTCTGCACTCTTTTCATTCAATGTTTTCTTGGCGGCTGTGGCTGAGTGGTTAGAGCAGTCGTCCTCCAATGCAAGAGTTGGGGGTTCGAATCCAAAAGCAGTCACATGCCCAAGTGTCCCTGGGCAAGACACTGAACCCCTTGTTGCCTCCGATGTGTGTCTCATCAGTGTATGAATGTGGTAAAGCTCTGATTCTTTAGAATGATTCGTTTAATTAACTTTGTAGAGATCTAGTAGAGTGCTGTATGAATGGGTAAATGAGAACACAGATTGTAGTGTAAAGCGCTTTGAGTATCTCGATAAGATAGAAAGGCGCTATACAAGTACAGTCCATTTACCATTTACCATTTTTGATTAATTTGTTTTATTTTGTTTCTTTTAAATGAATGAATAAATGAATAATAAAAAATGGCTTTAAACATCTGCTAAGTTCATGGCATAAACCAACAGACATGTTCTTGTTTTTAGTATTTTAAATGGCTTTATAATGTAGCCATTTTTGTTTTGGATTTTATTTATATTACTCTGGGCTTCATGAGACATGCCTCTGTTCAGGAAATCCATTCCATAGTTTGAAGCCAACTTGCAGAGCAGCCAGCAGGGAATCACATGTGGAGATGTTTCAGCAGACACAGACATGTATCATGGATCGGAAATCTCTGCAGGTTAGATCGTAAAAATCAGATACGTATATTACACTGGTATTGGAGCCTGATACCAGATTGGCCCCATCCCTAATCAGGACCATATAGAATGGTCAAGTATGTCTTTTGGAAATCAGTTTAGTTATTGGTTACAGTTTTCATAACAAAAGTAGTCAAGGAAAGGACAGTCGAAAAGTTTTGTCAATTAAAAAAAGATTTCTGTAGTCAAAACACATTTCACACAGGTCCAAGGAATGATGAGGCCGACACCATCTAGACCTTTAACATTGTTCTGGTTCAGTTTCTCCAACTCTGTCTTTACCTGAGTGCTGGAATGGATTCAATGTGTTCTGCTGTGGGGTAAA